CAAAACTCTGAAGTTGTTTTCTGTGTCCAGTGCCTTTCTAAGTGCAGCAGTGAATGTTTTTTTGCAACTGTGTGTGTGTGTGTGTACACTTGGCAGCTGTGTGAGGGGATTTACTTGTGTTGCGCTCAGCATTTTTGGCAAACGGAGGACCTCTTGAGATGGATTGGTGAACTGGATGGAGCTCGGGAGGGGGTGTGTGTCCCATATCACGGGTGGCATAGTGCCCTGGATTTTCAGAAACTGGAGAGCGTCGCCCTTTCACTGCAGATATTGCTTAGTGGGACCGCGTATGTGTGTGTGTGTCTGACTTGTGGCGTGTCCTGAGTGTACAAACAGGTCATGTGTATGAAAACACCATTATCTCTACATTAGAAACATATGACCACCGTCAGTTTCAGCACATCAAAAAATACTCTAAAACAAACCTCTCCTTTGATATTCAGCTGGTTTAACTGTGTATGTTGCTCAGTTCAGACACACTTAAGGACTCAATCTATTTTAGTTGCAGTCTGAATTAAGTTATTAGATCACTCCCGTTCCTGTTCAGTCAGGCTCTTCATTGTCTCACTGGGAAATAAGGAGCACAGACAAATTAGGTTGATGATGATGATTCAAGGTTTTGTTTCCAAAAAGATCCAATTTGGAACAAACGTTGCTTCTTGAACTTGAAGTTCATCCATCATTATTTCAAAAAATACGAATGATTTTTCTATCAAAAACATTTAGAATGGGATTTACTCCACAATGGCTCATAACTTTAATTATTCCCTAATGTGCTTTACTCTAATGTTGGCAATCATTTTGTCAGATGAGATGTCAGCTTTGTCCGGTGGTTAAATATTTCATTTTAGACCAGTACTGCCGGTACACTCTGTCACTTCAGCCTCTGCCTCTCTCGGGAATTATTTACTTATTAGTAGTTCCATACAAGAAGGGGGCCAAAGTAAAGATTGCAGCACATGAGCAGGACTACAGACATGCACTTACACACGCATGCATGCACACCTACA